GGATGCGTCTCTGCAACAGGCCCTGGAAGGCTTGGTTAGGCAGAGGCTCAGATTTATTCAGTAAAACAAGAGAAACCCTGGAGGAAATCCTGCTGCAGCCGGCAATGGAAAACAAAAAGCCAAAGCGACGCAGGAATGGCGTCAAACAAACAATGTCACTGAGCTCAAGAGTCCTGGAGAGACCTCAATCCAATCCAGAGTTTGTGATATGACTTACTGAACTGCTGTTCACTCGTGATCCCCATGCACCCTGACAGAGCTTCTATTGATCAGTCTCAATCACATCCACGGCACGTTGTAAAAGAGAACATGGTCCCTTGTTACATTATGGGTTCAAGTCTGGGTCTCGTCCTTCTACACTCTACATTTATATTGCTTCATGATGTCAAAACTGTTTTAATATAAAATCCATCCAGTAGCTGTTCTGGAGCCGTTTATCACTTCCTCAGCAGATAGCGTTGCCTAGTCTGAGACTGTGATATTATCAAGAGCTCCAGATCAGTCACTTAATGGACCTTATGGTGTGATTGTTTTGTCAGGTAGTTTAGTTTAGATGCACTCGAGAATGCTACTAAAAAGGGAGAAAAATCTGTGGTTGATGAGGTCATAAAATCCTAAAGAGGCTTCTAAACACATCTCACCTCTCCCAGAAAAAAGAAACCAGATGACCCAGCTCAGACCAACATGGTGCAAAAACAAAATGTATTATCACTGAGAGAAAGGAATCAAATGATCATCTGTCAGTGTAAAAGTATTTTACATTATAATCATGGATTCTTATTACAGATGCATGAACACGTAAGCAACATTTTAATTGTAGAGGTGGTTGTGGTGGAGCTAATTTTAACTATTTATATACTGTTTTAAAGACCTCTGTGTAGGATTTAGTGACATCTTGTGGTGAGATTACAGACTGCAACCAACTGAAATCCCATAACGCAATGAAGCGCGAAAGACAAACTACAGTTGCTGTAAAACTCGTGAAAAACAAGGAATGCCCTGTCTAGGCACTGTTTTTGGTTTGTCTGTTCTGGGCTACTGTAGAAACAACATGGCGGACTCTGTAGAAGAGGACCTGCGCCTTCTGTAGATAACAACAGCTCATTTTAGGATAACAAAAACTCAACAATTCCTATATTCAGATGATTATACACTAATGAAAACATACCTATGAATATTATATTCCATCGCTGCCAATAGATCCTTATAAATATTACACACTGGCCCTTTAATCCATAAAAAACACCATAAAGAAAAGTGTATTCATGAGGAGTTCTGCTGAACGTTTGCGCTCGGAGACAGAAAGCTTTGTGTTATAGGGCTGTGAAGTTTGAGAGACATGGGAATTTATCAGGCAGGGCGGCTTTCACAAAAGTTGCTATCCTGTTGCATTATGGGAAATGTAGGTAAGAACTCATTAGTAGTAAGTGTTAATGGATCTTGTCCCACACCACGACCCAAAAGTCAGTAAACCTTGGCATTCTTTCTTTAATCTGTCAAAAGTGAGTTGGAAGTGCAATACTAAATACCTGGGGCGCCCTGTAGCTCACCTGGTGGAGCTGGCACCCCATGTACCAGGGCTGGGTCCTTGCTGCGGGAGCCATGGGTTTGGGTCCTTTGCTGTGTGTCGTCCTTCTCTCTCCCCCTTTCCTGTCTGTCCAATAAAGGCAAAAAGCCCACCTCCAAAAAATGCTGCAATACCTCTTTAAGTAACCTAGAGAACTAAAAGAGAGTACATGTACTACACAGTTGATGTGTTTTTCTGCCACCAGTTACTTAATATTACCATGATCTGCAATGCACTGAACTGTAAGGAGTAAATATATAAAAGTATAATACAGAGGCAGGTGGATGCACTGAACCAGGGGAAATACAGGCTATTGGCTGTTTCACTCATCAGAGCATCAACATGGAAATTATTAGGATATGAAATCAGCAAATCCCTCACAAACTGTAATTAGATAAAGGCTGTGTGGTGGGGCTGGTAAAGGATCAGTCTGTATTTCTTCTTCAATTTGGATCCAGGGTCACATATTTAGACTATTTCAGTCCTACAGTTTGCGGGTTTCGGATCATGGAAATCTCCGACATTTTGCTCAGCAACTGACAGACAAGATCTGCTCACTTTATCAGACTGACTTAGAGATAAAAACCGCCCTATCCTGCATCCATTGCTTCCCTCATTCTGCTGACTTTAGAGATAGATGCGGGTCCGTGGAGATGGGGATCGTTCTCACTGCCCCGCCGACTGGATTGCACGTTTCGGTGGTGTAGGTCACCTCTTTGAACGCACCTGATCCGCCATATTAAAAAACGTAATCATCACTTCATCCGACTTTTTTTTTGCCTCCCTGAGTCAGAAAATGATTCTCCTACCCGTGTGATATTTGTTCTTGTGACTCATAACTGTACCCAGTGTAGTGAGTTTACTGCCGCACATGAAGGTATATAAGGTATGTCATTTTTAGCTCATTAGATATTAACATCCTGCCACTCCTACAAGGACCTACAATGCTGCTGGGGGGGGGATACAGCACTTTAAACACTCCTATGGATCATTATAGTCATGTTGCGGGCCGTTGGGTTTCTTGTGTATATGTCTGGATGAAATTAGTGAGGAAACGATGTTGCACCGACAGATCTGAGAGCATGAACTCTCTCAACCCGGATCCGTGCTCCTGATTGGACCCGAGCTGTGTACTTCAGTGCAGCTTGTTTTAGCTCTTCCACAGAAGCCTTTCATGATCACACTGTGTCACTTGTCAGCGGAACTGGGGTCAGTTTACATGGGAGGGATGATATGCGTCGATAAGGTTAAATCAGCTTAATGGAGCAATTTAATTGCCAATGCAACCCCTGATTGCTCCTCCTGCGCTTGCGCGGCGAAAAAAATATATTAGAAAATACGAATGGACGCCGTGAGAGAGGACAATAAATGAGCGAGGTCTCACTCTGCCGCTACTTCCGGTTACAATAAACGTGAGCAAGAGGGACTTCCGACTTAAAGGACCATGCCAGTGTTTTGGGGAGGTTTTAACTAGTTAACTGTTTATTACTGATAACTGTTTCCAACACATAACATGCTGTATAATTTCAGATATTTCATGAATTTTTTTCTCACTATTCAGACAACTATTGGTTTTCATTTATTTCTGCATGGTAGAAAAAATGAATTATTACATATATGAATAATAATTAATATTGCCTGAAATCAATTACAGTGAACAACAAAATAATAATATTAGGTGGTGGTTCAGTTTGAGTGCAGTTTGCTTTGGAAAGTCTGCACACCGTTACCTCACTACAGAACATTATTGCACACTTTACATTCGCTGAGATGGATTACACACCTCAGGTTTGAAGAGTGTCATAGAAACCCAGAGTTTTGTCCCATTACCGCACTAGTTCCTTAACGTTTTTGGGTGAAAACAAAGCAATGTCTACCGGTTTTATCTCATCATTGGTTGCATATGTCTGCTGGCTGTGACCAGTCTAACCATACAGTGATTTTGCGTGATGATTTTATACAACTCTTAGAGTCCTGATTGAGTTAAATATTCCATAAGATCAGTCTGATAAACTAAGCACAACTTTGGGTTTCCTTCTTTTATATATCTTCTAATCATATCCCAACCCCTCAGATATCTCACAACCCCTAGCCTGGTTATCTTTTCCTACTGTTTACCTGTAATCAATAAGCAGTCTAGAGACAAACTGAATTAAAGAAGTTAATTCAGTCTCCCATTCTAACTGTTCAAAATGTCTCTGCACAAAACATCACTTGAGATCACACAATGATAGCTAATAATTCTGCCAAACAAAATGTACTAACATGTGTCTATATAATGCAGCTGGGTCAAACGATCAATATGTATCGATGCCTTCTCCACACTACTGAAACGCTCTCATCAGACCCCCAACCGGCGTGTTACATCCATGTTTATCTATGGGTTACATCGAGTGAGACGCCATCCTTACGGAGTGAGTCATCTGCTCATTAGACAATCTTTGAAAGGAAAGTGGAAAGTTGTGCGTTGTGCGCATGCGCCCCCGGGATTAATGTCAAGGCACAAAAGTGGCGCTGCACCGTTCCGAGCTGTACTCCGGTAAGCGAATTTCACAGACGTTTTTTATATTCCAGTTTTACGCCTAATTAGTCAAAGTTTCGGGAACTTGTGCAAGCCGCCGGGCGGACGTCCAGGGACTCACTCAGGAGTCACGCTGGGGCGAGAAGACACATTTAGGGAACAATAAACAGTTAATTTTAACAGATTTTCTCCCCTGCTCTCAGTGTGCTGTGGCTGCTGCCGCCTCTAGTCTCCAGTATTGTTCAGTTGGCTCCCTAATGGCGGACGGCAGGCAGTGCTGTTTTCCGCTGGGGGAGGAGGAAGAGGAGGGGGTGTGGGGGGGGTGTGTGTGGGGGGGGGCAAATTCTATCTGCCTGTGAAATGATTGGGTTTATACCTGGCTGTGGGTCACGGTAACTCCTGAGAGGCTCATGTAAACACGATGCGGGGATTTCTTTGAGCCTCGTTGTTTACTACCGCATGACACAAATGAAGACAGTTCATGTGATACGTAACGGCAGGGCGCCCCTTGCGGTGGACGGGTATATTTGCCACTGATTGCGCCAGGGTGGACGTGCAGGGTAACTTTCCAATTAAAACCCCAGCTTCACAGGTATCCTAAAAATCGGGCTTTTTATTCGGATTCCGGGTTTGCTTTGGCGGCACTGGCATGTGTACGACTAGAACAATTAAAGTGGAGGAGAAGGGGGGGTTGTGTAGTAAAGCCACACGTTTCCAGGCATCATGGGTTGTGTTTGTGAGTGCCACACTCTGTACCCTGCACTACATCTGGCTCTATTTTCATTTATGTGCTGCGAATAAGTTGTGATCATTTTTTTTAGTGGTATTGTAACAACGGCGCAGTCTGTGTCTGCTCTCCTCCCCACGATCCGCCGCTAATCCAATGGCTGTTTGCGCCAGGAAGGGCAGGGGTGGGAACGGAGCGGAACGGAACACCCTGAACCACGTTTCTCCTGGATCCCAACTTGGAAGCCAACCTACCCCCCCTCATTTACCTGGGTTATTTATGGAAGAGTTGCGCAGCTCAGGTAGTGCTGGTTCTATTTATTGTTCTTGATTAAAGTTTTGGATCCGCTCTCCATAGCCAAGTTTGTTAAATATTACTGCTTAAAAAGGGAGAAGGGAAGCCAGGATAAGGTCGAGTCATAGTCACCGCGGTAACCGGGTGCCTGGACCGGATTTGGTGCTGTGGTGGTCCTCGTCGTGGAGCTGAGCTCTTCTAGCCAGTGTTAATAATCAAGGGCACAGCCAGGGGGACTTCAGCGGCTCCTGAAAGCTTGGTACAGGCTGTCCTTCTGTGTTTATTTCCTAACATTTCAGAGGAGAGCTCATCAGCTGTGTGGAGCTCAGAATAGTCAGGGTTTAGTTGTTCATTCAGCTGCCAGGTAACCGGAATGGGCAGCATTTTAGCCCATCAGCTGGCTTGGGGGATGTTCTGGTGGCTGCGCATTACGCATCACTTCTCAGTGACATAAGCCTTATATAATAATCTCAGGCGTTTCATTTGAATATGTTATTAGTCGGATGTTCTCTGCGCAACTGGCGCAAACAGCTGCGCGTTTCTCTACCATGTGACCTGCGGGGAAAATGATGTCAACTTGGCTGCATGCGCAAACTGATAGTGTTGGAAAGGTAGAGGAGCACCTATGAAAGGTGATGATGTGGCTGGGGTTGGTCTGGCGCAGCTGTTGATTTTAACTGCTTGTCTGCTGAGTGTTCAGTTGCACGCAGGCAGTCCAACCCCAGCCCACCCCACCCCACCTCTCTGCCCACCTCTCTGTCCACCTGGTGTTGACGTTTGGAGCAAGGTTGCATGTCAGAGCTCATTAATGCTGGACCTTCGTTTCCCTCTCATCCACGTGAATGCAGGCTGGCTCATAGCTCTGCATTGCAGTCTGAACTGAGTCTAGACCAGGCTATTTTTTCCCCTCAGAGCACTACTGAGTTGCTTTGCACATAGATTCCCTCTGTTGGTGTAATATCAGGCCAGAAAGCTGTGATGCATTTTATTTGCAGCTCAGCTTGGCTTTGGGGAGGTGTTGCACATGGGAAAAAGACCCTTTGGGTCCTGTCTTAATATTTTGACACCAGTTAACCCATAGTCCTAGACAGATGTGTTGTAACCCAAACACACGCAGTCTCTAGATGTAGGGTTGGGTTATATCTTCTAAGATACAAGCTTGAGTTCGATTACACAGCACAGTCACTGGCTTTGGACAATGGTGTGGAATCCCATCCTGTTTTTGAACAGTCAAGAACAACTTATTGATCTTGAATGTCATGCTGTTTTGGCTTGTGCTTCCTGTCACATGGTCACTGTGAGCAACTCTTCCTCTTCCAGCTTCAGTGTCGTACAGTCATGTAGATGTGAACAATCATCAAACATTGTATGCAGCTCTGATACGGTGTCCTTCCTGAGTTTGCAGCAGCGGGGTGTCATGATGTAAGCTGTCTTTTTATTCAGAAGGAGAGACTTGGATGAACTTTCACACAAGCTATTGACATTTCACATCAATTTAACTCCTACATTTCTAAACAGAACATGCCTTTGTGAAAGAATTGTTAGAAAAAAGGTATGTTTGCATGTTTTGTTGTTCTCATGTTGTGCTTTTAGCATCTTTTGCTCTTAGTTGCATTAAAACATCAAATGTTTTTTCATTGGACTGTAATAGTGGTGTCAGGGTAGGAGAACATGTAGAGCTGCAGCAATTAGTTGATTAATTGATTAGTTGTCAACTACTAATTCAATTGCCAATTTTTTTTAGGGCAAAATTTACAAATTCTCTGATTTCAGCCTCGCAGATGTGAATATTTTCTGGTTTCTTTATTCTTGTGTGGCAGTAAACTGAACATCATCGCGTGGATCGAGAAAATCCTTGACAGATTAATCCATAATGAAAATAATTTATAGTTGCAGCCCTAACATGGACGTCATGCAAGGGGTTGGGTTTAACACAATCAATACCGCATGATATTCTATATGATAAGTGTGCATACGTTTATAAGATTGTTAATTGCACTTTTGAATGTGCGGTCCTGATACAAGTAATGTCACTGTACATTTTTGGTGAGTCAGTTAGAGGTGCTGATTCAACTCAACAGTATTTGTCTTTGAGGGTTTAGTGTGTAGCCTTGCTGTGCAAATATCCTCTCATTTAATAAATTATTACTGTTGTTCGGGGTTCCGCTCTGTTGGCAGGAATCTTGTAGTGCTGTATCACTAGATATAGGAAAACGTCATACATTAAATCACAAATATTTTTGACGTTATATCTCTTAAAATTAGGTGTTGGCGTTACCAGTTGACGAAATGTGGTATTTAAATATACCCATCCCCAATGCAAGAAGACTATTGTATTGGATTTGAGGTATTTGTTATTTTGTGCATCCTCTTTTTCTTGCCAGGTAGCAGTCTTGACATAAGTGGCAAGTAAATTACGGTCAAATTGCCAGCCACCAGTAGCAGATCAATTCCCTCTTTTCTTTTCTTTTCTTTTTTAAATAGGCAACAAACAAAGACATCCCAGGTCTGCTTTTTATACTTGAAGAAAACTTTTGGAAAAGGAATTTAGTTTTCATGTATTGAAGTTTTGGAATGTCGCATTCCGGAAAATATGGAGAAGTAAATAGTGCAGGTGCAGATGTCATTTATACATGGCTGTAGGCAGCAAAGAGACTTTACATCTGGAGATACTTGTTGTGTGGAATCATTTCCAGTCACAGAGAGATACATCCCAGTTTGTAATAGAGATAGACCGATTAATCAGTCGGCCGATGTCTGTTCTCACAGCACCGATAAATAAAAGGATGTCTTGAGGCACATCTGCAGGTAGCCTTGTCAGTATGTCTGCTGTGGAATGATGTTGCCCCCCCCCCGTTGGTTTCCAGCCCTGTACTGTAACTCCCATGCATCCTGCTGTAAACATACGCCTGGATTTTTCATAGAATAGAGTTACACATGGCTTTCGTTTTGTTTTCATATCGGCCATCGGTAGACCTGCGCTGCAAATATCAGCATCAGCCATTAAAAAACCCAGACTGGTTGCCCACTAGTTTTGAACCATGTGATGTTTGATTGAGCCCTGTCAGGTGGTCAGGGTCACCTTTGGGACTGATGGGGAGCTAACGGCCATCCACACCAAGAACTCTAACAATAGTGATGTGAGCATCTACACTGATGAAAGATGAATAATTTTAATGTGATTTGCAGCCTAAAATTACATTATATAGGCAGTATTGTTCTGAAAGTGATCCCAGCGATATCGTTCACCACTGTTGTCATGATAGTTGCAGTGTGGAATCTACCCTCCGCTTGAGTTAAAACGATTTTTAAAACTATACGTTTGTAGTTACTGTTATAGTTATTGTTCTCGGTGTGGACAGCCTTTTATGTACTGGCCTTCAATCAAGGAAGTCGGGGTAGTGGATGGACATTTAAACCAACATCACCCATTTGAACTTGACTAAAAATATCTAGTAATAATAATATTTGGTCTCTACCATACTAAAATGTAACAAAACGGGTCATTAACGCTAATATGTGGGGAAAGTGGAAGTTGTAAAATATGAAGAAAGTCCCAATACTCATCCTCTCAAAGCCTTACCTGTTTTCTCCAAGATGCCGTAGTTCAAGCGCTGTGATTTTTATTGGATGCACCCCATAGTGCTGGGGCCAAAATGGCCGACACAGTGACGTCAGAGCAGTGACCTGGCTTCCTCTGTAGTGTTGACTGTGCTCAGTTATAGCTCTAAAGGCTGCATTCAGGGGCTTTCAGGCTCTTCCTGCTCAGGGTGACTGTTGGGGTGAAGAACATAGAGCTACAAAGATCATTGTCTGCACAGGAGTGTGTCTGTGAGCTAGCTTGCATCTGTTTGTGTGTTGTCTGTGTGTGCATGTGTGTTTCTGTGCTGCAGCTGTCAGCAGTGATGTGATGTGTGGCTTAGAGCCACCCTCACTGCTGCGTAACATGAAAAGGAGATTTTGACAGAAACAGATCAACATAGAGAGCGTAGACATCCCCAAAAGTGATTTAAATAATATTTGATCCTGAGCGTGGCACCAGATCGGCCTACAACATATCTGATTACATTTCATCTCTTTTGGATTTATAGAGATACATCAGAAGCCCACATTTAGCAGCTCAATTGTACATATACGTTGCTGAATAGCCACTTATTAATCACATAGTTAGATACCTAAACCATTTAATTATTGTGTTGGCCAACTCAACAGCACCCAGATGTAGAGCACAGAGAACAAGTCCCCATGGTGGTGGGCCTTACCATCACCACGGCAACCAAGGTGTAGCTTCACCAGTTGCCGGGGGCAACAAGAGAGAAGCTGTGTAGAGCGACACGCAAGGGTTGGGTGCACGGAGGGAGGGAGGGATGTGAAAGACAGCAGGTGAGAGGAGGAGTAGAGGGCTGGTTAGCTGGGTAAGGAGGTGCACAGAACAGGAAGAGAGAAAAAGGAGGCCGAGATGTGACGAGGCAGAGGAGGAGCAAAGTTGCCCCCGTTGCTGGGCAGGCACATAGTGGTTCTTGAGTCTACGTTTAGCCATTAAGACATCGCCTATTGTTGCACTACTACTACTGGGGCACAAATCCCTCCACCATCTTTCAGTCCTATCAGTATAATACTCGTCTGAAGCAATATTGGAATCATTTTAGAAAAATGTCTCAGCAAAAGTATTGTGATAAAATCAAATAGGAGGTTTTTTTTTAGCTGTTTTTGTAATAATTTTTCTAGATTTCAGAGCTGTACACTTTTTGAGGAGCTGACTGTATGAAGGTTGCAATAAAAGTGCATGAACATGTACCGGTAATTCAATGTTTGGTTCCACCAATTGTTTAATAATAAGAATATTCAGAGTGCTGAAGGAAGTCACTGGTGTTATCAGGTTTAATTTCTCAGAAAGAACTTGCAACATTGTATACTGTTATTTGTTCTTTTTAACTTGATAAAAAAATGTCAGTGTTTTAAACCTCATCGGCAAGTACTGATGAAGACGAAGAGGCCTTCCCTTTATTTCTTAGCACCACCATTTTTCTCTCTTGGTTGCATGTTTGCTCATTGTAAGTCACCTTGAAAAGGACAGTTTAAGTTGACCTCAATGACCTAAGTGAACTAACACAACTTAATTTTTGCTCCCAACCGAGAGCAGAGCATCCAGTTAAATCTAGCTGTGTCTTGGAGGAAGCAGGTCGTAGTTTGAAATGAAAGGCTTGTATCTGGGACAATCTTGGTTGAAGATGAGATGCATGTTTTAAAGGGTCAGCTCAACCACCCCCATCACCCCCCATTGTATTCGGGTGTCCTTGAATATCTCAAAGACGAATATCTGAAACCCTCTGCAGATACAACCCAAATATTTGCATGGCCATATATGCTAGAGGTAGGATTTCTGTTGAACTGACTGTTAAATGTGACTACCAAAAATCAGCCAGTGATGACATAGATGCTGAAAAGGTGGTAGGTAACAATGGCAACAAGTCTTCACCTGGCGTGAGGGGGCTATGTGGGGGAAGCTTGTCTCTAGGGATACCTGTGTTACCTGCACAGCTGTCAGCCATCTTAAAACCAATCACTGGTGCTGGCTTCACCAAATTGTTTCCTAACTGCTTTTCATTTGTTGCCAGGTGGTTGCCTTAGCGATGGACGGGGAGTCAGAACCAAACCCTGTCGGAGCAGAAGAGGCAGGGGAGCGGGTGGAGCCCATGGATGCCACTCCCTCCCCCCAGCAACAGACCACGCCCCCCTCAGAGGAGGCTGGGGAGGCAGTTTCCATGGTAACAGAAGATGGAGCCACAAAGGTTGGCACAGAGGACAATGATGATGATGATGTGGTTCTCGTAGGGGAGGAGGCTCCCCAGCCTTCTGCCACAACCCTTTCCCAAGACACACCCAGCACAGACTGCCTAGAGCCAGCTGCTGCCGTGGCCACTGTAGACACGTCCACGGCAGCGATGCCTTCCAAGACCCCCAGTTCTCCTGCGTCTTCCAGCACATCTACAGCAGCAGCACCTCCTAAACCTCCTACCACAGCAGCAGAGCCTATCGTCATTGACGATGAGGAGGAGTCTGAACAGAAAGACACTTCGTCCTCCTCACCAGCGCACCCTGGAGGCTCCTCTGCGTCCCACTCGCCAGGTGTACTCAGCAGCACTGAACCAGATTCAGAGATCAGGATCGCCAGTGTCACCACACTGGGCTCCAGTAGCCAGAAAGGAAGCTCCACCATTTCTGTAGTAAATACTCCATCACATCCAGTGGACGTCCAGGCAGACATGAACCTGATGATAACCTCAGTGACATCACTGCAGGGCGGGGCGGCGGCGGCAGCTGTCACAGTGGTGAGAATCACCAGAAATGATTTTATTTATACGGATGTTGCTTTCATCTCATTTACATTCATCTCTACTCTCTGTAGGGTTTTGTTTGTTTTTTTAAAGTTACATATTGAAAAAATGTGCCTCCTAATTGGTTTTAGGAAAAGTTGGATCTTCTGATGTTGTATGCTGGTAGATGTTGATGAAAGCAGGTGTTCTCTTTGGCATAGCAGGTTTATTCTTGGCGAAGGGGATAATGATATCTTCGTAATGACACTGCTGAGAGCTGATATCTTGCCAATATTTATTCATCCAAGTTGCACTGGCAGCTCCTAGTTAGATGAGGTTGGATTCATTGCGTTAGAATCTGCATGGCCCCTGTGTCTTTGGTTCCTTATCATCTTGTTTTCTAATGTTTTGTCACTAAGGAGAAAAAAAACTAACCTAAGCAACTTGTTTGTCTAGGCTAGTGAGGGTCAGGCAGAGGAAAATGGACTGCAGATCAGCAGTGCATTCAGCCTGAATCCCGACACCCCACCTGGTCGACCAACAGCCTCCTTCAACCCTGGGCGGGGCTCAGGCCCCATGGGCCAGCTGGTACAGAATGGAGACACGGGGACGCACAACAGAGCAGGTAATGGTTTTATCGTTACAGCAAGAAGTAAATTCACTTGGCATGTTCTCACAGGTTAAATGTTACAATTGTGACACCACATTTGGCTTTGGTCAGTGCAGCGTGTGAAGGCTATCAGAACATGTTAAAATTAGAGCTTTAGATGCTTACACCCCCATTACACTATCACCTGATACTAGTCAACAGTATCATGGTAGAGTAGTGTAGTCGGCCACGTGTTTGTGTTTGCCTTCATATATTTATTTTTTATTTTGAGGATCCTACATGTTCCCTCCACTGGTACTGGCAAGCGTGCCCCTTCAGCCCTCCTGATAGTGTTCATGTTAAACCTGTGGTGTCCTGTTTCAGACCTTTGTTCGGTGAAATTGCTGTTAAGCTCTGTTGTTAATTTACCACTTCTTTTGGAATTGAGGACTACAGGTGCCAATCAGTATCATATACACATATATATGTTATATATATATATATATATATATATATATATATATATATAGACGTGTATATGCTATGATAAAACCTGTTATAAAATGGATGTAGCAAAGAAACGAACAGTGTTCTCTTTTAAAGTGTAACTGAACCTGTCAGTGTGTTTACATGCATAAATATTATGTAAACAAGAAAGAAAAACGCGCACCCCCCTCACTCATTCGAAAGCAGGGTCATCCTGAAAAAAAGTTTAACCTGGCTTAACTTTTGCTGCAACACAATGCAGCGTCACTCAGCAAAGTACAGTGTTGGCTATTTATCAAACACTGCAGTGTTTTGGTGTCTAATAATCATTCAAACTCTTTATTTAACTCCTTTTCCTGTATGTTTCACCTGAAGTTACACACCTTGGCCAATGCAGCCTCTTAGGTTATTTAACGCAGTGCTTGTTTTTGGTTATAATGCTCGGTGACACACCTACATTTCTGCTGGAGGAACAGTTCTTTGCCTTGCATAGACTTCATTGGGCGTCATAACAGGGTTTTTACAGGGAACCAGACTGGGCTCTTTCTCATGCGTTGCTATCACTGCAGTGCAGTGGGGCGCAAGGAAAGATTATTACTGAATCCATAATAAATCAATCCAAAGATCAGCTAAATTAGAAACTGAAAATTGAATCTAAATAAATCTGTATTCTACCGCTAAACCACAGTTTTTGACCTCTAGAAGAATGTCATTTCACTTTGCTGTGGGTTAAAACTCTTTTACACTGAGCAGAGACTCATGTTCACATCCAAAAAAAAACAATAGGGAGAGGTAAAGGGAAAAGCCTGATTACTGAGCAGTTGTGTGGAAACTAAGTAGTACTACAGTAACCAAGTATTGTAATTCCTGTAAGCAAATTCCAGTGTTCACCCGAAGATCTACCCAGTGAACCCTCAGAAACTTTAATAAACACCACCTGTGTGCTCAGCAGAGATGTTTGAGTGAAGGGTGTAAGAGTTCAGTATGCTTTATGAAGAATTGGACAGCATCTTGTGAAAGCATGCCTTCCTAAGACAAAAAAACAGACACAGTAAACCTGTTCTTGTCCAACTCCTCCTCCCTCACACTTGTTAACATTAGAACGCGATGAATTGGGTAAATCCCTCAAGCAAAATGTGCACCAATTGAAGACCTACAGATAGTCTGGATACAGGGATTAAATTGTTCCCAAGTGGGCCATCAGGCACTTTCTGATTTCAATATGGGACAGTCTTGAGACCACACAGACTTATTGGCTGTCTGTGAATTGATAAGGCAGGCCATTGGGACTGGGCCTGAGACAGTTTTATGTTCCTGTCTAGTTCCACACGGACTCCAGATGGTGCTGTTGACTGCAGCGGTCCTCTTTTCTAAAACTGGCTTCTGTAGGATTATTCTTTTGGATGCATCATAGTTTCATGTTTGCAGTTTAAGCAAGTACAGCAGAATTACATTTTGAGCAGCCTCATCTTGCTGCATAGAATCTTCAGTATCAGTATTGCAATGACAAAAACAACAAACTAAAGTTTCACTGGAGATGCAACAAGTGTGAAGTTGAGTTGCTTTATGTAAGATGGGTTGGTGGTGCAGGTTATTTTATTTCCTGGTTGCCAGTTTTTCCTGGGTTGTTTAACAGCTGTAAAAATGTATATTTTTTCATCTGATTCGTCAAGATGCTCTGTTATGTGGTGACTCGGTAGCCTAATGCCTCATGCTAAAGGTGCACACAACCAGGACAACCTGCAACCAGGGTCTAAAATTAAGTAAGTTAAGAAATTTACGAGCCAAAAGTATCTTTTCTGGCCATAAAACTGCTTAATGCATTATTTAAATAATATGATAATAAAATTTAGGGCACATGGTTGTTTAATGAATAAAATATATAATAATGTGGGTGTCATATAGTGTATTTTACGTATATGAACAAAGGCAGTCGTTGTATCTATATCATTGAAGAGCTTGCTCCACTCTTCTGGAAAGACTTTCCACAAGGTTTTGGAGCCTGGCTGCAGGGACTTGCTTCCATTCAACCACAATGGCCACTGATGGCCACTGGCTCACAGTTGGTGTTTCAGTTCTGCTGTAGGATTAAGATTTCCCTTAACAGAAACTAAGAGGCCTAGCCCAAACCATTCAGAAAAAGACCTTGACCCCAAGTACACAAAGCTATGTGTACAGGGTTTTTCATATACTAATGACATATAGTGTATTTTAGAATAGTGAAGCCAGCGTTAAGAATTTAAATAGATAAAAACATTAAGTCAAGGGACAAATGTTGGCATTTTCATGAAGCTTTCTGTAAACATGTTTAAGAACACCAAGAGTCAGTGCTTAGTACTTGATTGGTCGATCCTACTGTTCTATCTTCAATCAGTAATCGGTATCAGTCCAGCAGAAAATGAAAAAAAGTTGGCCATGCACACCGTCATTGTTAGTATTAATATGTGTCTGTTTGAAAAGTCCTGTCCATTCCGTTATTTTACAATTAGTCTTTGTAACTCTCTTTTTGGAGGGTCGCTCCAAACTGAAAATGGTTAATGGGGATAACTGGCACAAGGCTTTAGTAGCGCTCTGGCAAAACTGAGTCCTTATGATGAGTTGACATTCACTGTTTGTCTCAAGAGATGTACGATGTAGGAACAGTTCATTTTCTCTCTTTCCCTCCAGACTCGTGGATCTCTCAGTCAGCTTCAGTTCCTCGCAACCAAAAACAGACAGGGGTCGACTCTCCATCACCAGCCACCTCCCTGCCCAAACCTCCAGGCCAGTCTTCCTCATCTACTTCCTCCTCAGGCTCCCAGCCACAGCCCAGGACAGTCAAGGTGATCCACTCTGTTCATTGAGGTCCTGTGTAGTTGCATTAGGTGTAGTTCATTATGTACAGGAGGGAACATTTAACACATAGTTTTCTGACTTCATTACCTTGTTAATTTCATTGGTTTATTTGCTGTTTTGTATAACTGCATTTTGAGGGAAACAACAGCAGTCTTTGGTCTTATTAATGTTTTATTTCATTCAGTTGAAGTGTACAGTTTCTTTAGATCTGAGGTTAAGAAAGTTTTACATGAGTGGTTTCCAATCTTTTTCCTTAAGGGACTACCATTTAGTAAACTGATGACCCCTGACATAATGTATGGATATTTCGCAGGCCAGCTGACAGCCTTGCCTGGGCCTGGGACGAGATAATCTTAGATGGGCCCCCCCACGCCCAGATCTCTCCTTTTCCTCTGCTCTTCCTCTCCTTCCAATAACAATGTTTGTGTGCACGGTTTCTTTCATGTTCTGGAAATCTCTCATAAAGCTTTCTGTACATTTCTGGAATTTAGTGCACTAGTTGACTTTTTCTCTACTTCAAAGGAGAACAGCAAGCATGGTAGGCAAAATAAGGCCTTTTTTTAGCTGCTATATACTATCCAGTCCCATTTTGTCCCTTCCATTGTGGGATGTGGAATATGTCAGATAGTTTGGGAATTCCCTGCCCTCTGCTTCTGCTGGCAATTCCTTTGCCCTCTCTGAGAAAGGCGCCATCACACGTACGAGGTTCATTCAGAGAGTCATTCTAGTTGGCCATAATGCAGGATCGCTGAAATTAAGTGTGTGATCTCTGATCCATTCTGCTCACACTCTCCGACGGGGCAGCGGCCCCTCCCGCTCCACTGTGACTATCTGTCTGTCTGTCTGTCTGTCTGTCTGTCTCTCTCTCTCTCTCTCTCTCTCTCTCTCTCTCTCTCTCTCTCTCTCTCTCTCTCTCTCTCTCTCACCGGTAGCCTGACTCTGTCCCTCCGTTGCGGGGCAGCGGGCCCCTCCCGCATCACTCTCTCTGTCACCTGCCTGCAGCTGGATCTCTCTCCTCTCTGTCTCATCCTCTCTGACGGAGCTACCAAACTCAACTGTTTCTGTCTGAGATAACGTGTTGTGTCAAGCTTTTATACAAGCTGATGGACGTTAACATTAGAGCTGGCCTGTTAGGTTACGTTACAAGGCTGGTAAACGTTGGCTGCGCTGTTTCTTACCTTGCTCTACGTTAACTTTACTAGTTCCACCGTCACCACCTTTTTTAAAATATTTAAAATCTCTAAGGCCTCTTTATTTTCTTCTTCTCTTCTCTCTTCTCTCTTCTCTCTTCTCTTTTCTTTTCTTTTCTTTTCTGAGCACCGGACTTGTGCTGCTTCAAATCAACGACAACATCAAATTTCGATCATTGTTTTTTCCACAAATAGGCCTATTTTAAAGAATTTAAAAAAATTATTCCATAATTTAATGAGGGCCCAGTTCCGGCCCCCCCCTACCCTGGGCCTGGAACAACAGACCCGTTTGTCCCCCCCCTATCGGCGGGCGTGATATTTCATATTCAGTGATGAATTTTAAGCATATTATTTATTGTGTAGGGAACTTTTATACAATTCTCTGTATTATGTATTTTAATATTTTAATATTTTAATAAATATTCTTCTTTTTTGACAAATACAGTGTTTTCTTGTCCTTGGCGCTTGGCCATTGTTATTGCTATTAAACAATTTACTTTACATTTCCATTTCATCACAGAAATGAGCCAAATGCTGAGATATAGGCCAGCTTTGTATTTTACAAGAAGACCTTGCAACCCACTGTGAAGCTTTGGGAATCACCGTTTTACCTGAACCAGAATGTATGTGCAGGGGTTATAAAGAAGGATATTTGTTCTGTGCTTATATAGTAAGGTCCTAGATTACTTACTGCCGTTGTAAAACTAACCAATCATTGCTGTGTTTGTTCATCCCAGGTGACCTGTGCTAACTGTAAAAAGCCTCTGAAGAAAGGCCAAACAGCCTACCAGCGTAAAGGCTCCACACACCTGTTCTGCTCCACCACCTGTCTCTCTGCCTTCTCGCACAAACCCGCCCCCAAGAAGAGCTGCACCATGTGTAAAAAGTGAGTCCCGGCCCGAACATACTGGCACCCATCCAACAGATTAAATATAATTTTTTATTGTTATTAGTTTGAATTTAGGTTTTTGAAAGTAGTGTGGTTATAACAATAATCCAAAACTGTGGCTCACTGAGTTTCAAATAAGGGAAAATAATGATTTTCAACTCATGTCCTAAACACAATGCTTAAATACAAGGACGGCTGTTATTACTTTTGCATACGAATGAACATTTTCTGTAGGTGTTAATGTATCTGTGCTCTGTGATGTGTTTTTCAGGGACATCACAAACATGAAGGGTACGATCGTGGCCCAGGTCGACTCCAGCGAATCTTTCCAGGAGTTCTGCAGCACGGGCTGCCTCGGCGCATACGAGAACAAGCAAAACCCGCCCAAATCGGGCCTCAAAACCAAATGTACTGTCTGCGGCAAGCTCACAGAGGTCAGTCTGTCTGACACACTGAACAACACATCCTGTCCATTTACCTGTCATTCTTCTCTTCCAGAGCCACGTACATACCACTATATTCATGACAGTGGAGTGAATTATTGAGCAGCAATAGGTAAATGGGTGAGAGTGGAGAAAAACAGGCCAAGGGGCATTAATGGTATACAGTGACTTACAAGTGTATTAGTTGACACCTATGCAGTATAAAGGCCAATTTATTGTTTGTTTATAGACTCTTAGTCTTGTTAGGCTTCATCCTCTCTTCGTTATTTCCATTCTTGGCTTTGATGTTTGTTTTATCTTACAAGCTTGAGTCTTGCATTTTATGTACATCTTCTCACCCTGTTCTCTACTTTTGTGTCAGATTCTTATCCCTTAAGGAACACCTTACCACCATTTCATTGCCAGTGTCTGTCTCTCGCCTTTCTCTTTCTTTGTCTTCCTCCTCAGGTCACTTTCATTCAATATTTATCCCTGCCTTGTTTCTTATGTGCCTTCACTGTTCTCTCATTCACTCTTTATGTCCTTTCTTTTCTCCATCCCTCCATTTCAGCATGGCTTCTCAGGGTCTGTTTCCATCAGCAGGTCTTCAGCTCAGTTGTCTCACAATTAGAGAATAGTTCTTTCCACCTCACAATTAGTTAGCTGGTGGTTGTGTTGAATTGATTTGGTAACACAAAAGATGGTCTTAGCTCCATCAGGGTTCAAACAGCTAACCATTCAGCTACTTGTGAGTGACTTCTTTCATTGTCTTTTCTTGCTTCATTAGGCTGTGGGTTTGCTCTGTTACCTGCATCACTGTGTGTCACAACTAATCAGTACTACTGTCACCTAGCAACCACAACTATCTGCATTTGTGACATCTTAAAATCATTTGCATTATTTATGTCTCCTTGATTTCATTTGCATATAAAAGCAACTGCAATGCCCCTGCCAAAGTACAATAACATGATTTGCAGAGTATATAACATGGACAGGACACCTTTTGTATAGATAAAAAAAAAAAAAAATTCACTACAGCTTTAGCTGATTTTAATTTCAGTATATCACAGCCTGACATGAGTTGTTGTATGAGTTGCTGTAATCCATGACGGTTGCCAGAGGTAGCAAATACATGCAAGTGGCGTTGATCAACTGTTTTTTCACAATGGGAACCACTGTTGGATTTGTTTCTACTAAGTTAGGACTCCACTAAAATCACGTAAAACAAAGAGTGATACATAACTACATTGCTCTCAGATTGAGGAGAAGTTTGCAGTTTAGAAAAAAAAAGGAAATTTAGTTTTCAGTTAGTTAATCGGGCTCTTGCTGCCCCTTCTTCATTTTTCTGTCTACAGATCCGGCACGAGGTTAGCTTTAAGACTGTGACCCATAAGATCTGCAGCGACACATGTTTCAACGTTTACCGCAGGGCCAACGGGTTGATCATGAACTGCTGTGAGCAATGTGGCGACTACCTGCCCAGCCGAGCGTCAGCCAACCACTTCCTGCTGGTCGATGGCCAACAGAAACGCTTCTGCTGCCAGAACTGCATCAGGGAGTACAAGCAGGTACTGTAGGCCCAACCACAGGCCGCAGGTGTGTAGAACTTGCCTGATTGGGGCCTATGTCCATTTATTTAATTAAACCATAACCATTCAAAGCCAAAACTTTGTCCAAGTTTTTGTTATTAATTTAGCTGTGGTGACCCCTCCTTCTCCTCACGGCCAGGAAACTGCCTCCAGAGCAACTAAAATGTAAATACAGTAAAATGATTAACCTGGCCATTTTAATCGACCTCCTAAAATGTAAAAACACATTTACAATTACAGTATCACAGGTGTGCAGGCTAAGAACAGGAAATAATTATCCAAGTGAAATAGAAATATGGTCCTCGAATGAACAAGGGAGAGAACTAGCACAAGTTAGTTTGTCTACAAAATTCGCACAAAAAACAAAAGAGCTGCTCAAAAGTAGACATTCACGGATCCACTTTTTTCCAACTCCGATCCGATTCCGATATTTGTATATCTGCCAATACTGACCCTGCTCAAATAAACTGGTAGTATTGTATGATGCAGCACAACTTCTACCCTCACAATGTTGGCTTTACACACGTTATAAGTTGCAGTCTTGCTTTTCTGTGTTTCTACACAAAACTATCTTCATAGTAAGAACCTTGAGTTAGTCGACTGTTACTAGCTCACTCCGTTGCAGACTGTTTTATGTTACGTTATGGCGGATTCATGGTCCAGCACAAGCTTCAGCTGTATGTCATATTGGATATCTTTAATATATATTTAATTACGAATTAATTAATTAATTTGTGCTGCAATATTTTAGCTATTGGTTTAAATTTGTATTATTACATATTTAGAAATCATAAAACCATCAGACTATGTAATCTGGATCGGTACGTGGATTGGTGGCGTCAGTCTGATATCTGATATGTGAATTAGGTTAGTATCAGCACCCGATACCGTTATTGGATAGGAAAGGCCTTAACTCTAGCTGAAACCATGAAGATTTATTCAGCAGCCAGTGTTACTGTTTGTCCTGCCAAGTTGTTTAAATAGACTAGGAATCTTCAAATGATGAAGGGAAGGGTCTAACCTTATTTCTTTCTACCTGTAACATCACTAATGTAGAGTGCATGCAGTGTGCAGTACAGATCAGCACACCTCTGGATCTTTTTAAACCTCTAGTAATTCTGTTACTTTTTGCTGAACATGTTACAACTAAATTGTGTTTCTATTCAATATTTGCCAGAAATTAGAGGTTGGAATTGTATTTGTTGCTTGGCAACAGCAGCTTATTGGACATTCCACTAATAAGTGGAAGAAACCGTGGGGTCAGTCATTTCAGTGGTAGAAAATTCAAAGGACAGGCTGACTGTTTGGTAAAAATGTGAGCTGGTGTTTCTCCAGTAATGATCAATCCTGTGGCTCAGTTGGTTAGATAGATAGTTGATTAGATAGTGAAACATAAGTGTTTGGATGATCCATGGCTGGTGGACAAAATGGTAAATGTTGTTGTTGTTCTTTCTATATTTGGCCAGCTCTGCTGTTTACATTTCTATAAAAAGTACAAAAATATATTGAAGACTGGCAAACTATCCTCTCAGAACTAAAATCAATTCAATAATTACAGTTTTGCAAACTGAGTAAAATGACCTTATTCTTTACTCATGTAGCATTGAATCTTCCTCGTTGTACTTTGTAGGAAGAAATAAAAGTGAAACTGGTGCCAGGTCTTACAACACATATTGAAGATACATTTTATAAGTAATGCTATAATAGATTTCCTACTGCTATTACTAGTCAGTGTGATAATAACAGGACAAAGAGTATAATCTGTGTGCCTTTATGACCAAGTGAGAGGAATAGAATCACAAAACAAACATACTGGCTACATTACTCACAAGATTTGTTTTTCTTCACTCTCTTAATGCTCATATGTCATCAAGGTCTACTCCATAAAAGTCAGAAACCACTCTGGATGCCCAACAAACACAATAAAATCTCTTGCTCCAATAAAGAGGATCCATCAGCATTTCCAACAATTTAATATAGTCTATTTTTCTGTGTGGAGTGTAATGTGAATAAAATAGCTTGAAACTATTTGATAGAAGCCTAAATGCCATCGCTCTCAGTTTTTATAGATGCTGGAGTACCGTGTGCATCGAAATGAGTTGACACTGAAATATGGTTATTATTTAATCAATTATCAATGGCTTAATATATTTTATTGACATTGAAGAACACAAAGTTGCTGTCATTTTAATGTGATGTTTTCCCTCTCTGTCCCAGGCCCACAGTAAACTTGCGAGCTGCCTGACTTGCAAAACGCTGATCAAGACAGGCGAGGTGCTCCACAGCCTCGGAGCCGGCGGCACCATGGGTTCCTACTGCTCTGTTAACTGCATGAACAAGGGCAAACTGGCTTCAACCTCCTTCGTCAGTGAGTACAACACAAGCAAGAGGGTTTACAAACTTAGAAACAAATTTTCTAGGGTTATTGATGTTTTTTTTTTAACATCAATAAGCCAGACTAGGCCCTTCAGGTAGCACGCACATGTAGACCCGTAAGATGTTGATTAGATCTTAGCAGCACAAAGTTATGTTCTCTGTGCCGTCAGTGAGCAGTAGCAGAAACATAACGAGCATTTATCATGCTAAAGGCTGGGTAGCCTACTGTTTGTGTTTGGGATGAATCATTTCCCTGTCTGAATGTATTTAGGTTTGTTTGTATGTTCTGATGTTTGTTACCTGACTTGAGAAAGCAGCAGAGAAAAGCTCCTGTCAACCTGTTTGTCCATTACTTATCATTAGTATTCTTCCCAGCAAACCAAGATGCGTTACTAAACTCTGAATACATAAGTAGAAGGATCAGTCACTTACATAAAAGGACCTTTTAAAAAAAGTCACAAGCATGTGTAATACATTCATATTATTTGAGTTTTAATGTTTAATGTATGTGTGTGCAGACACAGAGCCCACATGTCACATCTGTAAGAGGAATTCATTACCGCAGTACCAGGCCACGCTGCCAGAGGGAAACATCCTCAACTTCTGCAGCTCACAGTGTGTTACCAAGTTCCAGGTGGGGATCAGAAGACACAGATATGGGACCCAACTACATTTTACAATGAAATTAAAGTGCATCATGTCCCTCCTATGTATTCTGGATTATTAAGCAAAAAAATTTGATGTAGTTGATTGAAAACACCATATTGTTTTTGTCTCAGCTGCTTTTAGCATGAAAGCAAAATAAGCCTACTTACATACTCATCTAATGTAATAAAACAGTTTAGATAATTGCATTTAACTAGAAGCACTGATGTCCCAATTTCTCTATATAAAATGTTATTATACCTGATGGTGAATGATAGTCACAGTATCAAAAATAATATCCAGATTAACAGTTATTATCTACCCATTTGACACATCCTCATGAAAACAACAGCTCAAAACATAAAACCACAGGTTCCCTTAGTGGAGTCCATGACCTGATTCGTTTTTTTAGCCCTATGTTGCATAAATTTACATATGAACTAGGAAAACGATTTTTCTTGAATCTACCACAACCCTATCATGGTTTATGAGTTCATATAATACCACCCACATGGTGAGAGGAGTTTGTGGGCATGGAGATCAAGCCATCGTGTTAATTAGCTTCATTAATTACCTCTGTAGTGCAACCAGGTGGTGTGTTTTAACATATCAAGCACCAAAAGTTTTTCATTTTCTCAATTTGTTTTTTTACAGAATGCTACTCTTCAAACGGCCACCAATGGACAGACGCCCCTCTCCACTACAAACAGCACCATCCAGCTGAAATGCAACTACTGTCGGGGAGCGTTCAGCCTGAAGCCCGAAATTCTGGATTGGGAGGTGAGACCATCCTGGAGTAGGTTTCTAATTTTAATACAAATATCACAGGCAGTCTAATGTTGTTTCCTTCCACAAATAATGCTCTATAGTAATGTGAAGTACCATAGACGATAAACTCCAATAGCTCTACCTTAGAGCTAAACAGTTTGTCAGTAGAAAATGTTGTTATTATTTTCATTAATCATTTGAATCATTTTTTTATGACAAAATCCACTGGTTTACCAGTCCCTCCAGAACAACGCGATTATGCGATCGCATAATTCAATGCATAATCAGCCAAAGTCCTCATATTTATGCGGGGACCGCATTTTTTCAAATACGCCGCACTTTCGCTGCATAAATTGCCGATTTCCGCGCAAAATATGCGGGGGTTGCATGATTTCATAATCCCCGCATTTTCGTTGCAAAAAAGTCACATATATCTTAGCAGAAAGTTGAAAAATTTTGCGTTTACTTCACACAAGAGCAGCCATTTTCCCCTGTTGCCATGGGAACATTATGAAGTGACATAATTACGCAACGTGAACGTCATCTAAAAGCTGCAAACCCCGCGATGAAGCCGCAATTTTTGCAAGTTCCCGCAATTTCATTGCATAAAATTGCATAAATTGCCACATATTCCATCACGTTTTTTAAGAAAACGGGCTGCATAATCAAGGATTTTGCCCCGCAACAATCACAAAAAAACTCTGCGTATTTCTGGAGGGACTAATTTACTATTTTGTTAAATAATTTAACTGGTTAATGGACAAAATAAATGGCAGATTAATCAGTAATGAAAGTTGCAGCTGTCTACCTTGGTATGGGACAGGATGTTTCCCCAGTGACCACGGCAATCTGTAGAGTTGTTTGTTGTACAGGTAAAAAAGCGAAGTCAAACTCTGTGTTTAATCCAGCTTGTTTCAGCTGTAATAGCATCCTGCCATTTTTCCAGTTATTTTTAATGCATGCAGAACCTACTGGTTATGAATCTTAAACCAGAATGGATACAAGACATTTATCTGAATGTGTCTGTCCTCAGGATAAGGTCTACCAGTTTTGTAGTAAGGCATGCTGTGAGGACTACAAGAAGCTCCACTGCATTGTGACGTTCTGTGAGTACTGCCAAGAGGAGAAGACGCTACATGAGACGGTCAAGTTCTCCGGGGTCAAGAGACCTTTCTGCAGCGAAGGTACTAATCTCCTTTCCTCTCCTCTATAGAACACTTGAGCAATTTTCTCGACAGTTTTAAAGTAGTCGGAGAGACTGATTATATCCTGTGGTGGCTGCTGTTGATTTAGCCATTTTTAAACATATTTCTTGTTTGTATATCTGCTGTCTTTAACCAGGATTTTGCTTTGCTCCTTCCTGAATGAGATAGCTTTCCACTTCATCATTTGTCTTTGTTTTTTCAGGCTGTAAGCTGTTATTTAAGCAGGATTTTATCAAGCGGTTGGGTCTAAAGTGTGTCAGCTGTAACCACTGCAACCAGCTATGTAAGAGAGGTGTGACCCGGCAGCTTGGGGGCCTGACCCGGGACTTCTGCAGCGAGACCTGTGCCAAGAAGTTCAACGACTGGTACTACAAGGTCTGCTTATACTCAGCGTATACGTTAATAAATTAAAACTATGTATATATTATGCGATAATGATAATGTGGATTTTTGTGAATGACACTGTCTCCTTGTGGCCACTAGGCGGCGAGGTGTGACTGCTGTAAGGTGCAGGGTAACCTGACAGAGTCTGTGATGTGGAGAGCAGAGATGAAGCATTTCTGTGACCAGGAGTGTCTGTTGAAGTTCTACTGCCAGCAGAACGAGCCCATCATGGTCACACAGAAAGGCCCCGAGAACACCACCCTGGGTAAAATCTGTGTCGGTGTGTGGACGTGTGTGTGGACGTGTGTGTGTGTGTGGACGTGTGTGTGTGTGTGTGTGTGTGGACGTGTGTGTGGACGTGTGTGTTTTCAAATTACCCTCTTGAAAACATGCTTAAGTACCATGTAGCAGAAAATGCTTTTTTAAGGGTCAGATATTATGGAATTAATGAACGTTATCTGAAGCGTGCTGATACAAAAAAAAAGTATGTTACTTAATGTGTCAATCGAGATTTCTTCATGAGGTAAAGATATGTTGTATTTCATTTTCCTCTTTACAGGGTTTGAAATGCAAGGGGCAAAACTTGGGGTAAGTAAGGATTTGGAACTAAATATTGTATTTTTATTTATAAAATAATTTATTTATAATAGTTTTGAGATGTAGGTCATCCACTGTAAAATATGTTAACCAAATATTTATGTATTCTGTTTTGTCAGATTTACTCACCTACTGTCCTTTAAAAACAATCCCGTTATTTGTTTTAAGTTTCCGTTTAATTAATTAATGTTTTGTAAGAGCAGAAACCACATTTCTGTTTGCATTTAAATCTCTACATTTTGTTTCCTGCCATGTTGCAGCTGGTGAACCAGGGTTCTGTTGCGTACGCTGGTGGAGGTTTGGTGAGAGATGTCAAGAACAAGGCCGTGCTCTGCAAGCCGCTCACCCTGACCAAGGCTACCTACTGCAAGCCACACATGCAGAGTAAACTTTTACAGACGGGTAAGCACAGCATCATACTTAGAAAAGTGCTACAAATATATAAATAATTATTTTATTTATTATTATATATAAATATATAAAGTTTTTCTTTTGTTTTTGGACACTTTGGATAGTTAGAGGGAAATGTTATGATGTAGTTATGGTACCTAGCCAGACATGAATCAGAGATATTGTGCAGGACCTAGTGACTACCATATAATCACAGCTCAGTCGCAGCTAAAGTTTGTTATAGCGAGGCAGTGGAAATTGGACCTTTTTGTATTTTTGTTTTTGCCTGGGTCCGGCAGTTATGTGGAGGTAATAAAATTCCTACCACTCACCCTTCAAAATAATTACTTTTGACCCATTAACACACACACACACACACACACACACACACACACACACACACACGTGATTTGTGTGTTTAATGTTTTGGCATATCTGTGTCCACAGATGTAGACGACGGTGTGAAGAGGGAGTATGTTCCTGTACCCATACCTGTGCCCGTCTTCATCCCCATGCCCATGAATATGTATTCCCAGGTCACTCCCACTCCATTCTCTCTGCCTGTACCGGTAAGACATGATCCTTAGCTCATGAACACATACGGATTATCTATCCTAAAAGGCAAAAACATAATCTTGTAAAGGTGTTAAAATAGAGAAATCAATAAAAGCCTGTATAATACATGTTAAAATGGCTCTTGTCTAAACAAACGGGCAAACACAACAATTAGGTAGACAAATTGAGTGCTAGAAACATATTGTCATGTTAAATGTGTTAGTGTCAGAACAAAATCTCATTTACTAATTAAAGTTGCTTGATTACTAACCAAAAGCTATATGCCCTGTCCTGTCCAGGTTCCTGTGCCTGTGTTTCTGCCCACCACCATGCAGGGGGCAGAGCAGATCATCCAGACCATCAATGAACTGAAAAACAAAGTGCCCTCTGACCCTCTGGAGGCCGACCTGCTCTCCATGGCTGAGATGATCGCGGAGGACCAGAAGCCAGGTACACTCATGTGAGGGTTTAAGGTCTATTGTGATGGAAAAGAATGCTGATATATCTGAAAAGTGTCAGATATTCAAAAGAAGCAGCTCACACAGGGACAACAGTCAGGGTCTTGTGCCACCATATATGTGTCATTCTATAAAAAATGTAACAATTCCTGTCAGTAACATATTTTTAGGTTTACTAATGACTAATGAGTTTATTTCAGTCAAACATAAAGATCAGTTAGATTTGAAGAAAGCAAAGAAAGTAATGACAGTAAGGACCTACTTGGCTGTGTGTTTCAGATGTAAAGCCAGTGAAGGTGAAGCAGGAGTGTGGAGGGGAGGAGTCCTCCAGCAGCAGCTCTGAGGAAGAGAAGGAGGAGGAAGAGAAGGAGGAGGAGAAGGAGGAGGAGGAGAAGGAGGAGGAGGAGAAGGAGAAGGAGGAGGAGGAGGAGGAGAAGGAGGAGGAGGAGGAGGAGGAGGAGGAGGAGGAGGAGGAGAAGAAGAAGGAGGAGGAGAAGAAGGAGGAGGAGAAGGGGGAGGAGAAGGGGGATGAGGAGGATAAGTACGAGCCTGACCTGGACCTGGAGGCAGACTTCCCTCAAGGTAAACACCTACTGTCCATGGGATATGTATAAACCTGTTGATGCTAGGCCAGTGTTTCTACATCTGTGATTCACCATTCACTTTCACCAACCCTTCCTAAGTCCCGCCCTTTTGGAGCCTCTGTCAATTTACTCCTTTCCTGTACTTACCAGATTGGAATGGGTGCGTCGGGGACCGGGGAGTTGGGGGTGGGCGTGGTCATGTGCCAACTTGTTCTAAGTGTCCTGGCTGCGTTTACAGGCAAATTAACTGTCACAGTCATCTGAAACATGTTTTCAGCAGCTGAGATTGTCATTAGGCTGTAGAAGCACTGCAGTAGTGAAACGTAAAAAAAAGATATGCCAGACAAGTTTTTACCACAGTGAGTTGTCTTGTGGACTCTACCGTCCACAAGCCAGGGAGTCTTGTGATTTGACTGTTAATCTCTGTCACACTCTGTAATCTCTGTCCTGAGATAACTTCTGTTATGAATTGGCGCTATACAAATAAAATTGAATTGAATTGAATGCCGATTGCTTGACCCTGTATACGTGTAACAGGATTTCTGATTGTCTCTTTACTATGTGCATGACGAAGACATCACATAAGAAAAGTATTGCTATGACAGCAGGGTGATAGGATGATGATTGAGATAAAAGTGCATTTTTTTCTGATTACCTGCTTAACCCTGTTTGTCTGAACACCTGGTCTCGTGAATGCATGTAAATGTACCGACTGTGACTGTATGTCACTGTACCTGAGGCTCTTAACCCCAAAGTTCTGAGACACTGACTGATTGATGTCTTAACAATAAGTCACTGAACTAAATGCTGAATCACTGAACTTTGAATGCTGAGTCATTGATGCCACAATGTATAAACCCCTAAATGTAAAGTAGTGTTAACTGTTTCACATCCTGACTGGATTAAAATTTTCACTATATGACAAATAGGACAACAATTCAACAGATGTTGTTTTTTCCTTTCTCAGCCTCAGACCCTGTTCCAGTCCTGGAGGGAATGGACGAGGACATGGGCTTCTCTCTACCTCCAGTCCTGACGGAGGAGATGGAGGAGAAGGAGGAGAAGGAGGAGATGGAGGAGAAGGAGGAGAAGGAGGAGACTGAGGAGTCGGCACCTCGACCGCAGCCAAGAAGACAAGTATGTACATGTACATGTAACAATTTGAGTACTTTGTTGTGGCCAACTTCTTACTTTACTGTATAGTATCTGTTGTGTTTGTGTTGCAGGGGAACAAGAGGCGGGCTGTAGAGGAGAGCTCAGATCTTGCCTCGTCCTCTTCTTCCTCTCCGACAGGACGATCGCTGCCTCTCAAAGCTCGCTATGGCATCCATGCCTGGAAACGCTGGGCACTGTCTCCTTCTGACCAATCAGATGACACCAAAGTAAAGGACTGCTCCAAACCAGGTACTGCCCTAGTCCAGTAGTAGTCCACATGCATTGCTTGGCTGAAAATGAAAGGTTGATTGTCATATTTGAAAACATGAAGGATGTGTTTGCTGACAGTCTGTTCCCATCTCCTGCAGCCCGGACTAAAAGTAACTTGTTGTCGCTGAGTTCAGAGGAGCTCAACCTGGCTCTGTCCCGGTTTGTAAGGGAGGTCTGCAGGCCCAGTGGGGAGCGTTACTCTCCAGACAGCATCCTCTACCTCTGTCTGGGGATCCAGCAGGTTGGTACCAAGCCAGAGAATCAAACACCAGGGCCTCTTCAGCAAGTCATAAGCCATGTATATAAAAATCAGACAAAAGTTTGAACATGGAGACACTGATCATTGAGATTTGGCTGCATGTCACCACATAAAATCTGTTTGAAATATTGTTTCTTGAAATGAAAACACAAGTGTGAATGCTAATCATTTCCACATAACAATCAACTTTGGGGGGCCTTTTGTTACATGACAACTATTTCCTATCGCTCTTGTCAACTACTAATAAAATGCAATTAGCTGTTAATTGACATATGTCCAGTCAAGCGGTCGATAACAGTGTGGGCAGGGCTGACAGACAATATACCAAATGGAGTGATCAGGCATCGTCTTTGCATCTTTGAAGCATTAAGAACATAAGAAGGCATAAAATGTCGATCAGGGTTTACAGCTGAGATTGAACATGAAACTTAAAACGTAACAAATAAAAATAAAATGATCACAACCATAGTCTAACTACAGTGAAAAGGTCATTTGTTTTCAACTTTATTTATGATGGGAGAAAACAGGAGCCCCTTTGTGTCCACAGTTTATACTTTAAAAGCAGAACAATGGGGCATCCTGCTGTGTAACATGTGATTGGAGTTCTCCCGTCTCCTGCCCACCCCCTTGTTGCATGTCCTTCTTTTTTTTGTCCCCTCATTTCCTGCCTCACTAGTGTCTGTTTATATGGCATATATATAATTGGTAATTATGAAAAGTCATCTTTGGTAATTCCCATACAGTTGACAAAATACTAATTTTGTTGACTTCCTCTCCATAAGTATAATTGTTTTACCAACTAAAATAAAACAGAAAAATACAAAATAACAATGAGATTTTAGATTGTAACTAAAGAATATTAATAAAAAATATATAAGAAAATAAGAATTAGCCATGCTAACTTTACTTTTTGTTCAATTAAAATAGCCTCTGCAGTCATTTTGGAGGTAGGAACTAAACTTAGAGTGAGTGTTTCCGGTAGGACAGAAAGTACTGGTGCACAGTCCCCCCTCCCCCCCCTCCCCTCACATGTGAGCTGCAGCAGCACAGCATGGCTGCAGAGTGGAGCTCACAAACGTCCAAAGTCCTCTGGAGTGTGGTTTTTCTGACAGAAAAATGTAAGATTGACTTTATCTGTTTGTAAGAACTAACACAGTTTTTAAGATTTGATTGCTTTATGTAGACTACGATTGAGTAATGTGGCTTAAAACACTAGAAAATGTCTTTGACCTTTTCTGGGCCTGCTGTAATTTGCTAGTGTGCTTCCCTCCTGCAAAAAAAAAAAAAAAAAGCTCTTTCAGTTAGCTTTGTGGGGTTTTAGCATCTTCTTTTAGCAGCAGTTTTGTTCCAAATGGATCTGAATGTACAGATTTGTGTGTCCAGTGATTATAATTCTTTGCTGTTCACATCCTGAAAAACAGTGATGATTATTTAAATATGAGGACACTAAAAGTTTGATCTCTGAGCAACCACAGATTGCACCTTGGTTTTTTTTGTGTTTTTTTTTAAAGTTGAGTTTTCCTTTGTTTGAAGCACCTCCATGCCAAAGGCCGGAAGGATGACCTGTTTAGTGACCCATGCTACCAGCAGTTCGGAGAAGAGCTTAACAAGGTGCTGAAGGACTGGCAGCCCAGTGTGCTTCCTGATGGTGAGTGCAAACAGTCTGATGTGATGTTATGCTTAATTTTGTCAGATTTCCTTTTTTTAATTGACCACATGGAAAAGTGAGTGACCATATTTCATATCACTACACAATAATTTGATAATACACAGATAGCAAAAATTATTTTACATAAAATTCAGAGGTCAAATTGCATGTTATAAAAATAAGGAGTTTAGAAAGTAAATCATCCATGACTGATCATGCTGACACTGGGGAGTGTGTTTGAGTGTATGCTCGTTAGCACGGACTAGTGGCAGAGTGCTGTTAAACTCTAGTGTTGCTCTCTATTATGAGCGGTGTCCAATGATTAGAACTCTAATGCTGTTCACATTCTGACTTGTTGTGATTGCACTTTATTTTCATATGAGGACACTGTATCAACACTAAAGGGTTAAACTAATTCTCAAGGGTTTTCCTGTTTACACAACAAATAATAATTAAGTAGAATATTGTGAAGATACATTTGTGAGATAAACATGATGCATTTTCAGCTATGAAGTTTATTTTTAATGATGGATAACTAAAGTGCTAGTGAGAATTTAAATATGTTTGATCCAAAGATGTGGGTTTGAAATGAGTGATATCTAATTTTAAATAGAAGTTCTAATCCCGACAAATGTCCTAAGCAAATAGAAATATATTGACGAGGGTCACAATATGACCTCCACTTAATCTCCATCTTGCTGAATAGTGAGTTTCATATTCAGGTTGATTTGTTCCCTGGTGGATTTTAAAGTGTTTGCTGCTCTCCCCAGGCTCGCTGTGGGGTCGAGTGGAGGAGCAGAGCCTGTGGAGCAGCAAGCAGCTCGGGGAGCAGAGTCCCGCCGCTTTGCTCCGCTCTCTGGTTTACCTGAACACCAAATACTTCGGCCTGCGCACCGTGGAGCAGCACCTCCGCCTCTCCTTTGCCAACGTCTACGGCCCTGACACCGTCCATCCTGTCACCAAGGAGACCACCGTCTGCATCCGCGTGCCTTCCATCTCTCAGGATCACCATGGTAAGGCTGGCAACATGTACATAAAGGGACATTTTTATGACTTTGCTGATGACTCTTAGCAATATGAGATTTTCAGCAGGTCGGTGCAAATCCACAGCAACACAAACTATATCATATTCCAAGCAAACAATTTGTACTTGCTTTTTAATATATGAAGGGGTAGTTTTTTTAATTTAAAAGTCCTGTGATTATAATTCATTGCTGTTCACATCCTGAACCACCGTGTTGATTATTGAAATATGAGGACTTACTATGAAATGTTATTGAAGAGTTAAATTTTTATAAGTTTATAATTGAATTTATTAAAGTGGAACATCAGAACAAGATGTTCACCCAATATGATAAAACACCCTCAAATGTGAAAACTACCTCACGTCATTGTTTTATTTCACATGTAATATGTTACTACAAAACTATAACGATATACATATAAATAATTAATTAATTTGTCCTTCAGTGCAAACAGAATCTAGGAAGAGGAAGCGTAAATTGGAGGATGGCGATCAGGACTATGAACCAGATGACGACTCAGGAGGCTCCACTGTACGCTGCCCGGTTAAGAAGCATGAGTGTGACCTATATGACCTCTACAGATCTAAGTGGTGGGTTCAATATATTTACTTGTTAAAAATGCTTTCTCTAACCGACTATCTTCCTCACTGCGGTACTCTTTCTCACTGCAGTACTCTCCCTCTATAATTTTAATATTTTAACAAATGGGTTTTATCCGGAGGAGCAAATTGTTCAGCAGTTGAGATTGGCCCTCAGATGGTTACTATCATTAATCACAAGGCTTTCCCTGCAGTTATTCAAAGTGCTGTAATTTACTCCAGAGAGAAGCCCTTGCTCCTTTTATTCTAAAGGAAACTAGGGCTGCTACTGATTATTTAATCAATTCATCTATTGATTATAAGTGGCGGCTGTGGCTCAGAGGTAGAGCAAGTCGTCCAATAATCGGAAGGTTGTTGGTTCGATCCCCGGCTCCTCCCGCTGGATGTCGAAGTGTCCGTGCACAAATGAGTTTGTGTCTGCTCGATGGACTTTGCCATCACTGTGCGAATGTGTGAGGAAGTGCTTTGAGTGGTCGGAAGACACAAGTCCATTTACCATTATTGTTAAACATTAAGTCTGATATTAGATGGTGAGACAAAGACTTATGAAGATGATGTACAATGCCACTCACAAGTTCCCAGAGCCCAAGTTGATTTTCTTCCAGTTTCTTGTTTTGTACAACCGACCATCCAGACTCCAAACGTATTGCATTTCAATTGTTTATGTATGTTTATATTTGAATATATGTGTATATATGTCCGTTGGATTTAGAGCAGGCGTCTGAAAACTCAAATTGGCTTTGGCCACTTCTAGTATTGTCATCTCATAGGATGCTTCAACATTCAGGTACTACAATTTTCCGAGTACTGTTGCCCTTGTTTTGTGCCAAACATATACATTTTGGAACTAGAATTGCTTTTTTTCATTACATATGAAGGAGTAGTTTAAATTGACATGAAACAGCTAGCAAAAAATATATTAAACATTTTTTTTTTCTAAGTCCTGTGATTATAATTCATTGCTGTTCACATCCTGAACCACAGTGTTGATTATTAAAATATGAGGACTTACCATGAAATGAAAAAAGTGTCCCTCCTTATTATTCAAGGTGGAAACTAAGAACAAGACATTCACACTTCTCTCTCCCCCACCCCCCCCTTTCCTCTCCTCTGCAACCTCCTCCTTTCCTGTCCCAATTTCCCCCCCTTTTTTCCATTCCCTCACCTTCTTACCTTGTTTTTGATCTGCTTCTTTTTCTCCTTCTCTCTATCCACACTTTCCTTCTCTCCCTCCACTTTTACTCTTTCCCTACTTCTGTCTTCCCTCCAGCCCGGCGTTGTTGCGGGAGCGCCTGGATGTCTTTTACGTTCAACCGGATCCGGCCTGTAGTCCTGATGACCCGCTGTGGTTCAGCTCTACACCGCTGGAGCGACGGATCCTGGAGAGCCTCCTCACCAGAGTCCTCCTGGTCAGGGACATTTACACAGACAAACAACACTTGGAGGAAGACGAGGAGGAAGAGGACGGGGGTGAAACAGTCGGGGGAGAATAGCAGTCGGCTAGGACTTCTGTTAGTAGAGCCTGAACAGTCAGCAGAGGAGCAAGTGGAGGATAGCTAGAGTGTTTGCTCCTCCCCTGTCTTATCATCTAGTCCTCCTTCCCTTCCTAGCTGACTTGCTGTTTCCTCCTGGTGAGGGGGCGTCCACAACAGGGAACGTGAGAAAGTAGATGAAGAGCAGCCCAAACTTGTACTTCTGCTGATAAATTCACCAACGGAGGAGGAATTCATCTTACCTCCAATCATAAACTAGAAGAAGAGGACGGACACACGTGTCCTGATTTGTGATGGGAACTGGTTCAGTTTAATAGAATGAGGAGGTGGAGCTGTCATTTGTTATCTTTGGGTAAACAAAGCTAAATCAGGTAGTAAACAAAGTGTATGGACAGTTATCATATTTTTAAGACAGGATGGCTGTTGTGCATTACCGACAATTCTGAGAGCCTAGCGTGCTTATAGTGCTCACACAAGCAGCTTACAAATACTCAACACAGAATCATGCTTTAACAAAGGTTATCGGCAGCCACCAGGAGGCTACAAGGAGGAGGCCTAACTGAGGAGAAGGGACAGGATGTCATGGAGACATTCTCTCAGTCTGCCTCATGTCCTCTGCATCCCTCTGTGGATGGGAAAAAGTGAGTGGAGTGCTCAGCTTCAAGAGAGTAACTTAATTTTTATAAAGAGAATCAATAAGCAAGGGACAAGGCAGACAGAGGGTCTGGGTGAATCCAGAACCACTGCTCAGGAGGAGGAGAGTAGGAAGAGGAAGTGCAAGGCTGATGCTGTGTCCACAGAATGGGAAGTTGGAAATTCCCAGCTGGAAGGTTGAAATTCCATCTTTGATACATTGGTACTTCTGTTTCCAATTTAGCAGCTAATCATGCTATAAGTGCTACTTTACATTACAAATTTCTATTTTCATGGATGATTAAACACTAAATATTCGATGCAGTCTCCAATAAGTTAATATTTTAGTTAATATTTTATCCTGTTTCATCACCTTAAAATTTCCTACATTATCACATTACCAGACTACAAACTGCAGCATCGCTCTCAAAAAGTGATCACACTTTAGTTTGGGTTGCTCACACCAATATTTATTTACTTGCATCAGAAATGTGACAAAACCCTCTTACACTAGCAGGGCAGTTTGATGGGATAGGAATGTTATGTGACCAAGTCCAGTAAAGGGATCTAATCAAGTGAAATCACCTGTGTGGGTGTGTAGGGGCCTTGGAGGTTGTAAACTTTTGAGCTGAAGTGTATCTCCATTGTCAGTATTTTAACTCATGCTATGTGGCACTAACAGTGTCCAAGAAGTGCATAATGGAATCCTCAAACGTAAGAAATGTTGCCATGTAAGGCAAAATTTCAAATTTCTGACTTTCCAACATGTCTGGAACGCAGCATCAGCCAGGGGGGCGATCCACCGTATCACACACGCATCTCAATCACCCGGGCTGCTTTCATTCCATCCCATCATCCTCTTCCTGTCAGTACTGCTCTCAGGCAAAACCGCTGCACCACAGAGGACTGAGCTCAGAGGGGCAGGAGTCAGGACCGATCCCAGGACAGTAAGAGAGGACTGACTCTAAACCTTCTGTTATCTCTCATCAGACAGACCCGACTGGCTGTGGTGCGGGGTAAAGGCAGCCTACAGACATGCTGCATTTCTTCATTTGGGGACACTTTCATTCATGCAATGTAGCATTATGTGCGTACTAAGCCCAGATTGGGTTGCTTTGAAGTGTAAATATCTGAAACAAGGCGGTTATTTGAGCTGGAGTCAACACAGAGGGACACTGTGTGGTTTGGGGGAAAGAAAAAAACCTTCAGCTTGAAAACCCACCTCCTGAGAAGCCTTTTTAAAAAGACCACCTTTTACGTTGGGATTTTTCTGGGTGCCATTTCCTTCTCAACCGTCATCATTGAAACCCTGCTGCACTCCTGCGCCCTCGCCTCTCTTGTCCATTAGAGTATTTTGCAGGAACCTGCTAAACATGAAGGACACTGATTATTCAGAACACGACAGACTATTTTTAAAGTTTCCTTTCTGCATTCGTCCCCGTGCTCGTATTTTCCTGGCATTTCTCAGTTATTCTTAGTCTCCTTTAAACTTAATATTGATTTAGTTTGAAAACTGAGCACTTGTTAATAAGTGCCCGCTTCTTCTTCCCAGATGTTTTAGAGTGCTAGCACTGCAAAGCAAAAGCTTGTAATGTAATAAAGAACTGGTTGGACATTTGAATTTTCTTTTTAATGAACTAAACTCGTGTTTTCTTCCCGAGTTACACTATCCATTGTTTCTTTGATATTTTTTTATTTATGTGGTTTAAGTCCCTTTTTTTTTTTTTTTTTACTTGAGTTTTATTTGAACTGCTTTGATTGTTTCAATAAATTGGAGAAAGTGTCATCAATTTACTTAATTCAGTGAAGATTATTTGAGGATCTTGTTTCTACTTCCTTGATCCCTTGATTTTAATTTAATTTGGGAAAATACTTTGAGATGTAAAGCGGGCTTCATTTTACACCAAACAAAGGTTTCCACAACCAGTGCTCAAAATATAAGGAGCACCCTCCAGATGTTTGACCCACCATGTCTCTAATTTCTCTCAGATTAAAAATGTTTTCTCTGCATGATCCACGACTGCTCCTCCTGACTGAAGTGGATTTACCTGGAGAACAAGGTCAGGGAACACAGTGTCATAGCTTATTTTATCTAAAGAGCAGGTGTTCCTGTTATTTTGTACACTTGACTGTGCATTCAATGGTCTTGAACTACATTTCAGAAGCAAATGTGGATTTAGAAGGAGGACATTGGTCTGGATTTCACCAGCCCAAAATCCAAACCTTTAAACCTGAGTGGAACTTAACAAAACTGACGCGGGATCAGAGGACCCTGGTTAACCTGGCTGATTTTCCTGCTGGACTCAGAGGTAGTGACCAAACCTGCAACAGGTTTGGACCTACAGTAGACGCTGTGGCTGGCTTTAATGCCTAATGTGAATGTGCCTATCTGTATATACTGAAAGTGAGTGATTGTGACTTGAGTCTGATGCTATGTGTGTGGGCTGATCTGCTGATACGGTCATGTTAAATAAATGGTTTCATTTTCTAACCAGACTCCCTAATGATGCGCTTTTATTTGCCTGTAGTAATAGTAATTTGCAATAGTTTAACTGCTAACCCAATATAATGGAGGTGACTAGAACCTGTGCTCAAAGCATTAAACAAACAAACTTTATCCTAAGGGACCAGTGTGTAGGGTTTAGTGGTATCTGGCACTGAAGTTGCAGATTGCAACCAACTGAATACTACTCGGCTTCAAAGTGCGTAGGAGAAACTACGGTGGGTGCAAAAATTGCATAAGGCCTGATCTACAGCCAGTGGTAGGTTTGTCCATTGTGGACTACAGTAGAAACAAAGAGGGCCGGCTCCCTCTACATAAAAAGGGCTCATTCTAAGGTAACGAAACTAGTCTTCTTTTCAGGTGATTATACACTAATGAAAACATATCAAGGAATATTATATTCAGTTACTGCCAACAGATCCTCCAGGAAATTGTTTCTGTTGGGACATCTTGTCATTTTAAATGAAATTATTTTCTCATTGTTCTGGGTTTATAACACAAAACCTAAAACCAGTAAGGCTAAGAAGAGAAATGTCTTTTTGTGCTTTTGGTGAACTGACCCTTTAAAGAATCAGGGAATCACAAGGTTGATGGTGCAAATCCCCCAAATAGGAAACTAGAGAACAGATTAATGGGGAAAAGGGAATGAAAACTCAGAAAACTCTTGAGTCACTACAAGACCACAAGTATGTGGACAGCTGCATATAGATAGACCCATATGACTGTTAAACATGTCATTTCAAAACCACGTCCATTAATGTGCTGCTATTATGACCATGGGTCAATGACTTTGTTATCCACTCTAATGTAAAATATTATACACATATATGAGCCCCAAGAAGACCGTCATCGTTGTTTCCCACTGTCCAGTTTAAAATGATTAAAGCATGTTAACGCTGGCACAACATGGCGCCCTCCTCACTGTGTTCTGACCTTCCTCACTATCAGGTCCCATTTTTTACAAGGTGCCAGGCGGACATGTTGCCGAGGCAGGGACTGTTATCTGTGAGATGATGGACAGCAGGGCAGGAGGAGGTGTGGCCTGTCGACACCCTGGGGTCAGTACGACAGTCAGGGAGACGAGGCTCAGGCTCCCAGGAGAGGAAGTTGCATTTGAAAGGTTAAAGAGGCGAGGATGTTTTGTGTCACTATGCAGAGACTAGGTAGCATAGATAGTTCATAAGAGAGGACAGTGAAGTGAACACTTAAAGTCTTCCTCTTTTCAAAATGTTTAATTCTTGTTCCTACAGTGTGCTGTTTGAATGATGTCTGTGCAGAGTTTGACACTAGAAGGATGTTTTCACATTCATCTGCTGAAAGTGGAAAGTTTCTCTGAGCTCATTGAAAATCAGATTTTCAGACCAGCAGGATTTGTGACATCACAAATAGTTAAGAAGTCAGTCCTGGTCCAGTATCAACTTGTACAGTGTGATGTAGAAACTTGAAGCCACCAGTGCACATCCACTGAGAATGGACTTTACAGTGAAGTAGGAGACATCTTGTGTCCAGCAGCAAAACTTTAGAAATAAATAATATTTGCATATTGTATTGGTTCTGTATTTTTAAGTGAGGTAGATGGAGTAGATGACTTTTTAAGGATTTAATGTGGAAATTATACTTTTTTTTTGTTCCAAGGAGAGTATTTGTATACATGTCTTAATACTTCTCAGGAGGGGATCTTTAAATATTTTCCAATTAACTAGAAATAATCTAATCAAAAATGTATGACCCTTTTGTTCTCCCTTCATACACTGTAGAAAGCCTGCACAGTAGACGATAACAATGAACCAAAAACAAAATCGTGTTTTGAATTTCTTAAAGCATTATCCAAATGTGGGACTGTGGCTCTGATATGTCTTTTGAGAACAGGGTCAAAATGTCGCAGTGACTGGAGAATATTGACAAAACAAATGATAACTGCGTCACATTTGTTGTTCAGTCGATCAACTGTAATTCTGCTTCTTGTAGAAAGTTTAGTCCTTTTAGGACATAATGAGCTGAATGCAGAGAATACTACAGCTCACTCATGACGGAGCTCACACTGAGACCATAAAGTTGCGGTTACTCCGGGTTTTCTTTGCTGCCTTGCTGTAAATGTACTGAACACATCAGAACAAACATTATATTAGTCCTCCCCTCAGTACTTCTCTACCCTGTCTGTGGCTCTCAGCTGCGAGCCTACTGTTTCCTACTGGAGACATAAAGCTTTATTATTAATGTTTATTGTTTAAAAAAAGGTTAGGCAGTATTTTCCTAAGACAGCTGGTGACTGTAGTGTGAGACAAATGCTACTCAGACAGGAGTTAACAGTACATTTGTTGGGGACTACTTTCAGTGGCAGCGGATTAATACACATTTGATGATCTAGTGAGTATTTCAGGAGAGTGTGTGAGGGTTGAATCAAAATGAACTGCAGTGTGTGTTAATGCTAATGAAGGAACTAACATTGAATGCAACAATGTGTTTTTAGTGTTTTTGGACAACAGTGGAGCTCTGTGGCACAGAGGAATACTTGTTGAATACATTTATTTTTTTCTGTTTTTGTTTACAAGGGGAAAAAACAAGATCATCACCAGCTTCTTCCTGTAATGACAGCAGACATTTCACAGCAGACACAGTAATGACCAGAGACGAGGCTGCTTCTGTCTTTGTGTCTGACTGAAAAAGAGCACTGTCCTGTCTCTCCCAATGGGGGGCGCTACGCCCTCGCTGTGAACCCCTCCCCGGGGACTAGCTGAGTATTCCTGAGTTCCTGGTTTATCAGCACCGCCATCATCACCACCAGACGTGTTGTTTAAGTATAACACCCATCATTAGCTGCAGGAAGAGCTGCAGCTTTACCAAGCTTCCGTGTCTGGACCGAGAGGTTCACATCTGCAGCCCGGCTGATGTGAGGCAGCCTCCCCTCTCCTCCCATAAGCCCATGCACACACCCCACTTCCTCCTCCTCCTCCTCCTCCTCCTCCTCCTCCTCCTCTCCACCGCCAGCCTCGCCCCCTCTCACCCTGCCCATAGAAGAAGCAATGCATGAAAACTCAAAACTTTTGGAGGCTTTAAGGAAAAACATCCCCACCCCCCCCCCCCCCCCCCATTTCACCTCGCATTTTTTTGGAGGGTGGTGGACGGGTGGAGGTACAAAACACGGTGACAAAACCCAATTTTTTGAAGAGGCAAGCTTTTTTCTTTCTGTGCTATCTGTCAGAGTTGGCCAGACTCCAGTAACTTGTCCCATTGATCTAAAGCTAAAACGGCCCTGTGCGCCCACACAGCCAGGCCTGCGAGGGGTGTAAAAACATTTTTTCACCCTCGTGGGGTTTTTTTGTTTGGGCTCAATCCCCAGCTCTTTCAGGGGACATAAAGAAAGCGCTGTGCTCAGCAGGGTCATGTGGGCGAGGCCCGGGGGGTAGACTATAGGTGGCGATTAGGGCCTCTAATGTGCAATGAATCCTCTTCGAATCACATGATATGAACTAATGTCGCCATTTAATGATAAAACAACAGCGACTGGGAGGGAAGAGCCAGTGTGTGTGTGTGTGTGTGTGTGTGTGTGTGTGTGTGTGTGTGTGTGTGTGTGTGTGTGTGTGTGTGTGTGTGTGTGTGTGTGTGTGTGTGTAGATGCATTGCACAGCTGCACAGAGGACAAGAGGGCAGGAATGGATGACAACTGCATTTCTCAGGTTGTGTGCCTCAACACACGGCGCAGGACCGGGCTGAAGGACAGGAAAGAGTTTAGCTAGGATAGCTGGGATGTGGGTTAAAGTGCAACACAGATATTTTCCAGTTTTCCTTCCTCTCATCCTCTTTTGTTTTTTTTTACATATTTTTTACATGCTGCTGCAAAAGGCCCCAGAAAATGCCCACCGACCCTTGTTTCCTGAATGTTGCAGGAGTTCCCAAACTGAGGATGAAAGTGTCTGGATTTCATTTGATAGACAACAACTGTTTACCCCCCTGCACACACACACACACACACACACACACACACACACACACTGAACAGCGTAACCTTGGCTCTGACTGGTGGTGAGGGAGAGTGGGGGGCTTGGATTAGGTTAAATTTAGGATGGCCTGACCCTATTTGGAGAGCCATAGTGAAGCAGTGAGTGCAGCAACCCCTTCAGCGCAGTCACCAAACTCATCTTTTTCCAAAACACCCACTGGCTGACACATCAGCCAGTGGCACACACACACATGCATTGTTCCCCTTTGAAGCCAGCCTCACATTCTCCCATATCTTCGACAGCAGCTTCTCTCCTCCTCTTCTTCAGATTGCGCCTCCAAAGTAATAGGTGATCCACAAGTTGATATTAAACAGTTTCACAGCTCTTACGGGTTTGTTGATGGTGTGAACGGTTGCAGTGACCTTTAGCCTTTAAAACACAAAAGGGTGCTGCGGAATCACTGTCAGGTGAAAACATCTAGTGATGGTATTTGTATTGATTTAAAACTGAAGGATGGCATGTGCTACTGTCGGATGAGGAAAACTGCAATGCAATAGAAATGATTAAGTTGGAAAAGTTAGCTTTTAAACGAGGCACCAGTGTACTTGATGTCACTATGAGGGAAGAGAAGGCCAAGACCCAAGCCAATAGTTGCTGTCTTCTGTTAGTGTCAGTGATGTACAGTATTAGCATTTCATGTTAGCTGTGCTTTTAAAAGTACAATGAAAATCAAGGGACAGTGATAATGTTTACAACTAATACTGTTATACTGTCTGAGTGGTGCACTGGAAAGGGGTTTGCTTAAATTGTGTCAACTGGTTTGGAGGGGTTAGAAATGGTAGGGCTCCCTTGTTTGCTGATTAATTGTCACAACAGTGTATGTTCTGTTTTTTCTGTTTGTATTATTTTTTTTACCTCAAAGCAAAACTCTTAAACCACTGCAGGAACCAAAGCATCAACAGAACATCATGATGTTGAGATATGACTTAAATCCTCTCATTTTAGGATTCGCCTGGTCAAACAATTTATCCCCACATTCCCTGAACAAAACA